TTGACTATGGGCATCTCCCACAAAAATATCACATTAATCAATCACAGAAGAGATTCCATAGGAAAGATCTCTTGGAATAGGTGAAGTGAAAGATGTCCCCTCTCATAAGAGGATAATTATTGCCTCGATTTTACTCTGTAGCAGGTTATAGCACCTTGCCTAAGCCATGAAGGGTCGACCTCTTCATGACACCTCAGCTAAGGTCATGCATCACTTCAACTACCTCAGTTATTGCCTTGGCTAGGATAGGTAGGATAAGAATGTAGAGTACGAGCTTGTTGAAGCTTTCTAACTGGCTGCCACGTGGTTGATGTTTGGAACCTCGTCAAATGAGACATAACAAAACTTTCAATGTATTTTTATTTAGAAAAATAAATCAACCTTACTTCATCAAAGGGCACGTGCACAATGCAAAATTGTAAAATAAAGCTCCACTTCGTCATTTGTAATCATATTTCATGTCATCATGAATCAAATGAGATATTTTTGCTGCTCATGTTCACTCTTATAATCGATGTCAACAATTATCATGAAAATTTGTGGGGTTAATTGGGCGTAAGGCGTCTGTAGGTGGCTTTTTAAGTCCGTCGTCAAATCCCAGGGCTCAACCTTGGACAGGAGGTGGAAACTATCAAGTTGGAGTACTGTAGGGGCAGAGGAAATTTTCGGTGGAGCGGTGAAATGTGTAGAGATAAGAAAGAACACCAATGCATACATCACTGCACTTCCACTTGACACCTATCGTAATGATAAACGACTCGTCTCGCCGTGACCTTCTCTTGAATATCCACATCTTCTTTAATGTCTTTATAGTATGGTCTACAATGTCGTTATTAATTGTCACTTATTTTTTATCGTTTCTATTTTGAAATTATACTAATTTACTCAATTTTGCTTCCCAGGTCCCTTTGCATCCCTGGTCCCTAATCATTCATTAAATGATCAAGGAGTCTTTGTTACAATTTTATAGGTATTTATTAGATATTCCAATCTCCAATTTTGCACAAGTTAATCCCTTCTGACAATTTTCGTGCTGTAACCTCATCTAAAAAAAAGGTTGAACTCCAACCTTAAGGGTCCCTACCGCCCCATCTCGTCCCTGGAACATCATAAGGGATGTAAATCGCGGGATATGCCCCCAATAGGTTAGAGAACAAGAGCTTGTCCATACACTGGTACCTATAAAGAGTCCAATTCCATATCTCAAGAATCGAACCCTCACATTGCGACTGTCAGTAAGGTTGAGACTACCTCACTCCTGTCCTTTATACCACTGAATTATGCCCCGGAGGGACGCTATAACCTCACCTAATCCCGATAGGAGGTGGTTCTGGTATATTTAAGAGAACTACAAAATTACAACCAATTACTTGTTTGGATAAAATTATAAGTTGCTGAAATTATAATGTGAGAAAGTGAGTGGCGAAAAAGTGTGCAGTAATTATGAATCTTACGAAAAGTATAATTAAAATCAATGTTTGACTTCAACCATTAAATTATGAGGAACTTATCACAGTCCATTTTCGAGCTTAATTGAAAAGGGATTGTCGCACAATGCCCCTATGTTAACTAGATGTTTGTTCTTTATTTTTCATTTATGAATCCATATAAGAAAAAAAATAAAGAACACAACACTATCGAAAAATTGGCAAAGTAATGCAACTACAAATTTCACGTCCTTTATATCTTAAGTATATTAATATATAATTATACTTTATAACGTAATTGACATATTGTGTTCCTATTTGTTCCCTAAAAAATCATCCCCGTCTTAATGATGTATTAATATAGGGTAATTTTATTACTATTACCATATCAATTTTTATTTGTTACACCGGATTATAAACACGTCATAATTAATTTTTTTTTTTTTATAAATACACCATAATTAAACTTAATTTAAAAGGTAAAAGGAAAAAAAATTGGATTACTTTATAAACTCACACTAACTATTACATATTTTTTGGAGATACTATTTTACCCTCTCTTAATGGATTACTTTATAAACACTAACGTTAATAAACATTTTTCATTAATCATTGTTTTAATTAAAGATAGCATTAACTTTTTAAGGACGTGAATGATAGACTTTGTATATACTTGTAAGAGACAGTTGTTTTATCTTATTTCAATTCAAACCAACTTGTGACATAACGTCCCTTCGCGAGTTTCACTTTTGTCAAAATTCATTTTCAACCACGCATTCTTCCATAAATTAATTCAATACGTAAATTCAAAATTTTCTCTATTTTTTAATAACATATTCTTCCAAAAATCAATATTTCAAAACATATTTTTCTCAGAAAATGAGGTTCAAACAAGTACAACGTTTAATAATAAGAACAAATTTATTCAAAAGAAGAAGAAGAAGAATTGGCACAAATGATTTACATAACACGTCAAGTTATTATATTATGGAACTTGACAAAAAAGAGGGAATTTATCCACCCAGGGCTTAAGCTACAAACGAATAATTGGTTGCAGAAAATAGCATGTTATCGATAATATAGTGGTTGTTGAAGCCTCTTATCATATGAGTAATACTTAATTCTCACTTTGCTTATTTGAAGTTAAATATAGTCATCCAGTAATTAACATTAAATATTTCTAGTACAAATCACGTGATTGATGCTTAAGCACTGAAGAGAATGCAAGATTCAGTAATTTAATATATTATTTTTGTTAATAAATTCATCAGAAAATGCCAATTGATAAAAGTCAACCCGGCCTAGTTCAATTTAAACGTTTAGAGAAAAGAATTATGGTTATGTGCCAGTTATTTTATTTATCGTGATAACTAAAGTTCTAACTGTCGATTTGTAATACATGAATATGCTTTTACTGGTGTTGAATATTATTTTTTATTAAATTTTATTATTATTATTCTTGAAAAGGACTTCAGCGATTTTGTCAAACCCTGAAAATTACTTGAATTGCATTTCATGAAATGTCTTTGAGGCGTCTGCTCATTTAGTACTACCCAATTCTTATTGAAAAGTAAACACATGTTTATTAAGTTTGATTTACACAAGAAATAAATAGCGAGATTCTAAAATTCTGAACTTTGCTATTTGTAAACTGATTTTTGACACTTTGGTTGGTGCTTGCATTGTTGTCAAGTGTCAATTAACTGAAAAAAATGTTTGATATTTAAACTGTTCAATAGGGTAATGCTACATAACAAAGTGTAAACTAAAGTGTACATCATAGTGTACATATAACAAGGTTGAATGAAGTATGACACTTCTTTTAACTTAAGATTTGAATGCAACTTATTAGTCTTTAATGTGGTAATTAATGACTAAAAATCAAACCAAAATATTAGGTAAGCATGTCGCAACACTAGTCATTTAATATTCCAACTTCTTAGTCAGCTACCAAATCATTTTAGTATTTATATCACCAAAAAAGAATCCTTGATTAAGACACTAATATAAGTCAGAGAGTTCTAACAACCCTTCTAAGTATGTTTGGCTAAGTTTAAAAAGTTTACTCATAAATAAGTTTGCTAATGACAAAAGTGTTTTTGTAATTAAGGGTCAAAGTTAAAAATAAGCAAATTACTGATTGACATAAGGGTTACTTACAAAATATTTAATATTTTTATTTAAAAGTGAAAAAAAAAAAAAAAAAAAAAA